CCTCAAGACTGTCTCATTGATCACTGCATTTCTGGTTCCCAGAACCAGAGCTGAATAAGCATAGTTAAAAGATCTATACACTCTTAGGCCAAAATTACATTCTTTATTGTTCAGCAAGCTTGTTCCAGAGATATCTGCAAAGCATCATTTTTTTCTTCAGCCTAATTTTTTTCTTCAGGCTCTGACTTTATTCAAAGCTTTTTTCTTCTTCTATTGGTTTAGTTATATTTATTTCCCTTTACTAGTGTTTTAAATTTCTTTCATGTCAAAATGTTTATGCTTAAATTTCCCATTACTGCTATTATTAGCAATAGTGTTTTAACATTATCAAAGGTGGACGGTAGGCTAGCAAGTTTCAGTAGAAGCAGCTTGGCTCAAAAGGAATCAGACTGAAGAACAGCATCACAGTTCAGTGAAACAGCCTGGTATTTCAAGAGTCAGACATCTGACAAGTGCCAACTGAAGCCACTCAGAGAAAATAAGGCCTTGGCCAGAAAAGGATGAAACCTTAAATTAGATCTGGAGGACACGCCTTCGGGTAAGGCTGACGTCTCATGTCTCATGTTTCAGTAATAATTCTTATTTAAATGGCAAATATCTTACTGTATTCAATACCATCGCTGTTTGATGCAATCGAAGTGGAACCTTTGCCTTTGGCTACTACAATCCCCCCCACCTCCACCCCGTCTCCCCCCCAGCTCATTCTGGCCTGCACTTTAGCCAACGGCCTAACTGCTGATATTTCTACTGATAGGAGAGATGCCTTTAGAATAGTTTATAATTTGGAATGTTGTAGAAGCAACATGGCTTTCTTACTTCTAGCTGAAATTTTAAAAAATGACCTGTATGTTCAGAAATTATCAGATGCTATACCTTTAGCTATTATTAAGATCCCAGAGCATTCTAAGCCTGACTCCACAAGGACTGCAGTCCTTCTTAGGAACCAACAAGTCAAACCTCTGGTATGGCCAAAGGGATATTTCCCCAAATGATAACGTCAAAAAACTGGTGACTTCCAACAACTGGCCTCAGGAAGAGAAAAACAAAACTGGAAAGCTGACAACTGTTGGTTTGATAAAAAGCAGCAGCTCCGGTTCAGGCCAAATGACAGCCCAGTCCAACCAGAGGCTCTAAAACTCCCAACTCCTAACTAGTGTACATGCATTAAACCAGTGGCCCATTGGCAAAATGCATCAGTATTGGTGGCACCTGTTTTTAAAAAAATATTTTTATATATATTTTATTGATTTTTTACAGAGAGGAAGGGAGAGAGATAGAGAGCCAGAAACGTCGATGAGAGAGAAACATCGACCAGCTGCCTCCCGCACACCCTCTACTGGAGATGTGCCCGCAACCAAAGTACATGTCCCTGACTGGATTCGAACCTGGGACCTTTCAGTCCCCATACCAACGCTTTACCACTGAGTCAAACCGGTTTCAGCTGTTCCCGTTTCTTTTGAGAGCAATACTGCTTAATTGCTTCATGTTTTATACCTGCAGCATGTCTTCCCAAAGCTCTTACTTCTTTCCACTCTGAATATGCCTTTGGGGATTCACTACTCTATGAGGCAAACTGGAGAAGGGTAATTCCTGGGAGATCTCACTGCCCCTCCCATCCCTCATTACTCAAATGATAGGGTTACACCTGTTCATTTTTCTGACATGAAACATATGAAACATGACACTCAGCAACGGTACTTCCTGGCATCAAGGAACAAAGGGACGCTGCACCCAAAAAGACCTGACTCTTGATCAGCAATGATTCTGGAGAAAAATCATTCAAAGGCGGGGGGGGGGGGGGGGGGGGGGGGCGGCGGCGGCTTGTGAAAATTAAAAAATAGAAATCTCATCTAAAATGGAGTCAGGAGGCTAAATGAGAAAACTCACACAGACATAAGCAACACATATTGATGGTCCCAAACGTGAGAGACCTACCATGCATTTCCCACAGGAAGTGATACTATTTTGCTGTCTCAATAGCAGGAAGAGAAAGAGACTGCCAGAACTCAAAGAAATGTCACTACACCTCAAACGTTCAGTTCCTCTCCTTTCTTTCTCCGTTCTTGTTCTTGGTTCACCTGTAGATCACAAGTTCTGAAATACAATTCTTTGTGGTTCCCGAATAAACTCGTTTGCTGGAGAAATATGTGGCTACCTATTTGTTTAAGAAAACAAATAACAGAACCTTCCTCCTAGAGACCGAAGGAATTTTGTTCCAGAGCTTTCAAAAGCCAGCTGAATATTATACTTAACTTCCTGCTACTTGATAGTTATACAAGAGTGTAAACTATGAGCATTTGTAATCACAAGTGTGACAAGACACACAAGATCTCTGTATTCTAGTGGGAAGAGAACCAAAAACATAGTTTTGGAAGGGTAATTAGAAGTTAGGATGAGTGTGTCTACCTGAGATAGCATGTCTCAGAAGGTCCCTCTGATGGGGTTAAAACCACCAATGAGTTGGAAGGATAAGGAGGAGCCAATTATGCAAGAGGCAGGAGGACAATGCTCCTAGACTGAGGGACAGCAAGTGCAGAAGCCCCGAAGTGGCAGAGTTTGGCCTGTCTCAAGAGCAGGAAAGCCTTCCTTTCCACCAGTCATTTGATAAACGCTGTCAGAGAATCATGCTCCTTCCCTCCAGAGCACCTGTCTGGGGTTATAACACTGGTAACCAAGCCCAGCTGGGTGAGGCTCGGTGGTTGAGCATTGATCTATGAATCAGGTCAAGGTTCAATTCCCTGGTCAGGGCATATGCCATCCCCGTGGGGGTGGGGGTGTGCAGGACACAGCTGATCAATGATTCTCCCTCAGTATTGATGCTTCTCTCTCTCCCCCTCCCTTCCTGTCTGAAATCATTGGAAAAAAAATATTTTTTAAAAGACAAGTATTGTATCTGGCGTGTGTCTCAGTGGGCTGAGTGTCATCAAAAGCATGGACAGGTTACCAGTTCGATTCTCCGGCAGGGCAAATGCCCAGGCTGTAGGTTCGATTCCCAGTCAGGGCACATGCTCGGGTGGATTCAGGGGGCAACCAATCAATGTCTGTCTGTCTCCCCTCCCTCACTTCCTCCTCCCCCCTCCCTCCCTCTCACTTCTCTCTTTAAAAGCAATTAAAACATTAAAAAAAAAAAAAAAAAAAAAAGGCCTTGTATTATGGTTTCGTTAGTCCCAATAAACTTTAGCAAGTATTTTATTTACTGATTGCCTACTGTGTGTCTGGCACTAGGGATCTAACAGTGAGAAAAACCCACTTCCTGTGTGTGGGTGTGCAAACAAAGAGTGAAATAAGCATCATGAAAGTAGGAATCGTTTATTATTGGTCACCAGAACCACCACAGGCCCTGGCGTATACAAGGCAAATAATTTACTGAATGTGTTCTCCTAAGGAGAGGATGCAGCATACAAACCGTATACTGTGTAGTGCGATACTAAAAATCACTGGGTATACACACACACACACACACACACACACACACACGCACGCATATAACCACAGTTGGAAATACACTCAAGAAGTATTCTTTGGTTGTCCTTTGTGTATATTTTATATAATGAGCATGCTGCTTTTTAGCATATTAAGTGCTTAATCCAGTCAACGAAAAAGGAAACTTATTTCGTGAATAAGTCCCAGCTTTAGTTTATGATCTGTTGTTCTCATGAAATATACACAATATCCTATTCAATTACTAAATGTATTTTTGGTAGGGTGTTTTGTTGTGTGTGTGTGTGTGTGTGTGTAATTACAAGAAATAATGTTAATTTTTTATGTAATTAATCAAAAAATGTTAATATTTATTGTCCATTTCTTGGGATACTAATTCTCATTGGGTTTGCCTACCAACGTATTTAGGTTACTTTGGATAGCTCCTCAATGCTCACTCGGCTATGGGCAGCAAGGAGCCCGTTAGCTTTTATGAGGCGTATACAAGGCAAATAATTTACTGAATGAGTTCTCCTAAGGAGAGGATGCAGCATACAAACTGTGTAGTGCGATATTAAAAATCACTGGGTATACACACACACACACACACACACACACACGCACGCATATAACCACAGTTGGAAATACACTCAAGAAGTATTCTTTGGTTGTCCTTTGTGTATATTTTATAGAATGAGCATGCTGCTTTTTAGCATAAAAAGTTTATGATCTGTTGTTCTCATGAAATACACACAGTATCCTATTCAATTACTAAATGTATTTTTGGTGGGGTGTTTTGTTGTGTGTGTGTGTGTGTGTGTGTGTAATTACAAGAAATCATGTTAATTTTTATGTAATTAATCCAGAAATGTTAATATTTATTGTCCATTTCTTGGGATACTAATTCTCATTGGGTTTGCCTAACCAACGTATTTAGGTTACTTTGGATAGCTCCTCAATGCACACTCGACTATGGGCAGTAAGGAGCCCGTTAGCTTTTATTACAAAAGCACTGAAAACCACACCCCTCACCCAAGGGCTCAGCGCGCTCCCAGCCCCCAAGCAGAAGGAAGCGCAGCGCTTCCTCGCCCCACACGCCGCACCCCTGCCCCGGCCACTTCCCGTAAGCACAAGCCCGATAACACCCCGAGGGGCCCCGCCACCCAGGCATCAGACCGCGCAGGAAACCGCGCAAACGCCGCCCCGGAAACACCCGCACGCACCGGGCTCTCAGGAGCAAGCCCTCCATCACCTGGGCTGCGCTTCCCGTCCCCATCCCGCTCGGCTTGGCTCGGCCCCCACACACCTGCCCGCTGTCGCCGAAGACACGCTTCGGCAAACCCCGGCCGCGCCCAGCGCCCTGCGAGGCTCCGTACAAGCCGCTGGCACCCCGGGGTCCTCCCTCCCCTGGAGCCGCGCACAAGCACAACCCGGGACCGCTCTGCCCAAGCCCCGTCCCCCTTTCCCTTCCCCCGACCCACCAGCCCAACCTCTCCCCGCCCTCGGCTGCGGTCGGCCGGCCCCCCCACCCTACCCGCCCCAGCTCGCTCCGGGAGCGCACCCCGTCTCCGGGCCCTTACCGGTGGGCGCGGGTAGCCAGAGCACTAGCGTCACCAACAGGTTCCCAACGAGGCTCCGAGCGGAGAAGGCACGGCGAGGAGGTGCCCTGCGAGGCCCGCGAGAGGCCGTCATGTTCCGGGCGGAGGAGCGGGAGGCCGGAGCCGGCAGCCCTCAGACGCCGGGGACCTTGAAGGCGGAACTCCCAGCGGACTTGGCTAGCACTGCGCCCGACGGAAGTGTCGCTAGGGGGCGGGCCCAACGAGTGGGGCGGTAGGCGATAGGCGATGGGGGGAAGGGGCGTGGCCGGCGGGTTATTGGCAGCTCAGGCTCCGCCCACGCCGGCGGGAGACGGACGGCCCTTCACCTCACAAAGCTTTTATGGGAAATGGTGGGTCACCGCCCGCCCGCGCCCCTAAGATGGACAGGCACCAACCCCGCTCAGGAAGGGCGGGAAGGAAACGAGAGCTGGCCCAGTCATCATCGCGCCCTTTCCGGAGCCCGGGATGGAAAAATAAAGGTCGTGGGCCTGAAAATAGAAACCCGGAGCTCAGACCGGGGTCGCCTAGGGCTCCACTTTGGTCCTGGGACCTCCTGACTGGCAGAAGTGCCAGGGCCCTTGCTCAACATTGGGCATTAGCTCGGCATTAATTAGGGACGACCCTTGAGATTTCCATGGTTGAAGGTCTGCTACTTGAATCCTCTCAATGCCTGCTAGATTTCAAAATCACCGAGATGGTCTGGCCACTGTGTGCCCAACCCCTAATGTAAATAACTCTGCTTGTTTTCAAGGGCTCAGATAGTTCCTTGAGGGAACCCCTGGGAAGGTAAATCAATACCTGGCCATAAACATATGGGGCCCTTGCTCTTGATCAATAACTGTTTTATTGGAGAGGAAATACACATGAATGGAAAAGTTAAGGGCAAGGATGTATTCATGGCAAGTTCTTGGAAGTGATGAATAACGTTGCTTGGATATATAGGAATTAATAATACGGGGAATTTTTCTGATGAAACAGTCTCTCAATGCTAGAAATATAAGAATGAACAGGATTTATTTGTAGAATTGTGAGTAAAACTGTATTAATTAAACAAAAACCGGGAATATGACCAATATTAAAAGAACAAACGAATTGACATTTTCTATTTGTTGCAAAGGATAAAAATGTCAAACAATGTGAGTAAACATTGGGAGGCCCAGGACCAACAAAACATAATTTTTGTGTTTTTGAAGTTTTTAAATGAACTTGACTTTTAAAGCAAATAGTTACATTTAGAGTTCATTCCACAGAGACCATCAGACCTGTGAGCCAAAATGTATAATTTTTTTTGCGGGGGGGGGGGGGGGGGGAATGTAAGTTCTTAAGTGTCTAGCAAAAGTATAAGGAATTTTTGCCAGATGGCTAATGGGATGGAATTCTATGCAGTAAGCAGTGTAAGATATATATATATATATATATATATATATATATATATATATATATATATGAAACTATTCTCTATTCTTTAGTAGAAGAAAAGCAGACTGCAAATCAGTATGTGCCTTTTGGTATTCCTTTTATTAAACAAAAGTAGTTTATTGATACACACAAGTAGAGATTAGATGGAAATATACCTCCCCCCCAAAAAAACAACAACAAGTAACAGTTGACAGGATTGTGCAAATTACATTTTTTGTGCTTTTCAACTTTTTATATTGACTCAGGTTATGTTTGGAATCAGGAAAAGAAAAAAAAATTAATAACCCAACTTATATATCAACATCTATTTTGTTCATAGAATGGTGACAGAAATTCACAGAAGGAATGAGGATGATAAGGAAATGGAAGATCTCAATACAAACCTCAAACACATCTCCTGGAAAGATAAAACTGTGTATATATTTAAACAGTTCAGCCTCTGAGATGTACTAACAACTTTCAAGGTTCAACAAATCATAGAATTTCCTCTTCCTCTCAGCCCAACACAATGTTTGGACTGTTAGTGCAGCTGTAAAACAGTATATGTGGAGGTGATTTATAAACTAAAGGCCTTAGAATCTTGGATTATTAAGTGTAGACCCTCCATGATGACAAACATGTTGAAGGGGGTATAAGTAAGGCAACAAATAGGAAACTCAGTGAGGGGGGATTAGACTCTGTCTTCATGATTACAGTTGTAAAGGTGTGATATAACAGAAATGTTCTGTGGCTCAACTTGTGCAAACAGAATCTATTCTCTACAATCATCTATCTGTACACTGTTATATATCAATTATATCTCACTAACAGCTGGGGTGGGAACTTTCCCATTTATTTCTATGCTTGGAAGTAGGGTGTACTTGTGTGTATGTGTGTGTTTTCATGAAAAGATTTAACAGGGAAAAGTATATTATAACTAGTGTTTGGTTTCCTAGTTATGGGTACTTGATTAGATTTAACGATTGGGATTTACTTAAACTTTCTTCCTATCTGTGAAATTTCTGTACCTTGGAATCATCAAACCATTTTTTAAAATTCTCACCCACGGACATTTTTTTCCCATCAATTTCTAGAGAAAGTGGGAGGAGAAGGAAGAGGAAAGAGGAGACAGAGACAGAGAAACATTGACTTGAGAGAGACACATCAATTGGTTGCCTCCTGCACGTGTCCCTACAGGGGCTGGGGCACCTGCAACCAAGGTACCTTCATTGGAATCCAACCCACAACCCTTGGGTCCAACGGCTGGCCGACATTCTAACCACTGAGAAAAACTGGCCAAAGCATCCAACCATATTTAGCATCATAAATGGTATCCTTGTTGGTTTCTTTAATGCATTTGGAGTTGACTCACCTGAGGCTCCAACTGATACATTCTGAACCTTGTTCCGTTTTTCTGAACAAGCTCCATGAAGGAGGGATAGAGTTTTCTTGCTTTTTCTCAAGTGCTCAGAGAGTTCCAGGCCTATAGTAGGTACATAATATATATTACTTACTAAATGAAATAAACAGGTGTTGCTGTCAAATCATATAACATCTTTCTGCCCATTTTCCACGAGCATGGGAGATGTCTGAAAGATTTTAATTGTACTAATAATTAGACACAGAGAACAAGGCTGGATTTGACTCTAAAAGAAATGAGCTACAACTGTCTGCACAGAAAACCCTCCTGAATCAGGCAAGGTGGAGCTAATCCTTGAGGTGGAGCTAAAACCCACCCCTTAGTCTTGAGATCACTTGTGATGGAATTCACAGGAAAGCACTGAGCCAAGAAAGTCAAGGCCTTGAGGGAAGTAGGGGCATAAACACTAGGGGTTCCTCCAGTTTCTCCTCAAGATGTTGCCTGAAATATGGTAGCAATCATACTTGGGTAAAAACTGCTGTATGAATTTTAACCTTGCTATCTGACTTCGACCTTCGATTACTTGCTTAAACAATAAGGTTGTTACAGGTGATTGACTCCCACTGACTCAGTAGCTTCAGGGTTAGAAACTATAGATAACCTTTAGAGATTAACCTCTGAGTTCTGCTTTTGTATTATGGGCAAGATAGGGACATTGGCTCCCAGTCACACCCTGCTGGACATTCCAATGTCCAGCAGGGTGTGACTGGGAGCCAACCCTGCTGGCTGTCCCCAGTCTTTAGAATTTAGTCTTTAGGATTTAGGAACAGATAAGGACGGCCAGTTCTTTGTCCTGAGGGGCCAATCAGGGTTAGCCGAGGCAGTGACATCACCACCGACCTGAGTAAAACCCCTGGACTGGGCAAAATTCGCCCTCTTCCGCCATGCTGCCAGCGTGAGTGGAAAGAGCCCATGCTAGCATGAAAAAGGCTCTTTTGTTTATTCCATCGGACTCGGCTCCCTGGTGGTCCTTGGGGATCACGAATTCGTCTGGGATCCCAGCCAGGACCATGAGGGACCCCGATCCAGAGAGCCTGACTGGCTGCGGTAGGTGTGTGTTTGTCTGTGTTTTTGTGTGAGCGCTCTGGAGGGACTGCCCCTCCATCGGGACTCTTAACTGGGTGTTTGCTGGCTGCTGTGTCAGCTAAGGTTTGAGCCCGGATTCGAATCTGTAATAAATTCTTGCTGGCTTAATCAAATTGGCTTCGGTGGTCCATCTCTTGGGGACTCACTCTGTAACATTGCCAAACTGCCAAAAGAAAACAAGGAGAGAATGGAAACTATGCATGTTCATAGACCAGGTTTTGAGCTGTGTGTTAGATCTCCTTTAAGGCTTTATGAATGGAAGTAAGGATGTGTATGGATATCATTAAACAGAGGCCGACTTCTTTAAAATAAAACAATGCTAGATGGTTCTTTGCCACCTACATTAGTATATTTAGGTGGGGTAGCAGCATGAATGCACCTGTAAATGCTCTCAGAAAAGGCCTCCTGCTGTCCTGGTGAATCACACAGTAGGGTTTGTGGAAAGCTGAAAGAGAGTGGCTACGTGGAAGAAAACCATCTTTCTTGATGTTGGCCCCGGGAGGGATACCACCTCTATTTGCACCTGGTAAAACCTGAAAACCTGCTGGTCAATAGCTGTTACCAGAAGGGCTAATCACAGCATCTATTAGGAAGCCAGTCAAACACAGAAGGAAGGGCATTTCTCAGAAGGGATGTATTTTTTTGTTTGTTTGTTTCCTGTTGGCTTTGGATAACTTGAAATGGTAAACACATTACAGAGCAAATCCCATAAGTCAATTTGCAAAGATAAAACCTTTTATTCCTTTCTCATTATAATGGTGCAGAGAGACTATTTCATTTACTATAAGCTTCAAGGTCTTAAATGAACTTCCACCTCACAAGTGCACTCAAAGGCAACAAAAGAGTTGGAATTCTAGCTCTAGAAAGAGCTTTTGGCAGCAACTGGCCCAGTCCCCGGGGTTCTTATCTTGCTCCTCCATTTTCCAAATTCTCCTTAATGAGCTCAATTCCCTATTACACACATTTGAAAATAAGAAGAATGACAAATATGTAAACAGAATTCTTAGGCAACACTTTCTCCCTTTAAGTAACTGAGATTAGTTGTATGTCCTCAGTGCAGTCTTTCCCCTGACTAGACAGTATGTTCATTTCAGCACAAAGAAAGAAGATGGAGAGACAGCATCCAGACTCTGACCAAAGGGGGAGCTTCCTCAGGAATTGGGAGAGCTTCAGCATCTTTGCCTGCACAT